CCTGCAAACCCGACTACCAACCCATATTACCGATACTGGTATGCCAGAGTGTTCTTTTTTTAAGGCCGACCTTTTTCAACCCCTGATCTCATGAGGAAATCAGCATGAGCTTGGTACTCCTGGTCATTCAGGAGAAACATCCCGCTACTGTCACACCTCTATCCACCCAGTAATGCGATTTCGCTCTCGGACCCCATCATAGTGTAGTAATCTAAACTACAATGGTAGCTGCTTTTTGTCTTACCACTATCTAACAGACCTTTGCGGCATGACAGCGTCTTGAGAAAACAAGCATTCAAAGCAGCTACTTATATGTAAACCCGACCACCATGTCAAGGCAGCAGTTTTCGGTCGGGTTGATCTCTCTGTACTCTGCTTGAAACGGAGCATCAAAATAAAGCTATCATAATACCTTGCTGGTTCATATGCTGATTTTATCTACATAGTTCTTGAACGGTTTACGTTTGAGCACGCACGCATTTACGGATCTGCTTTGTTTGTGGTGCTGTGAGGAAGTAACTACTAATACTGCTGTTTTCGGAATTGAGTTAAGGAGCAGCTATCCAGATTTAATATTCATTAGAACTTGTAGTTAGAATTATACAAGGAGAACAAAGATTGCGTTTATAATACGTATGTTGTATGCAGTGCCTTTTAAGCCCACAGACAAAACCTCTTTAGCGTCGTCCAGATAAATAAACCACTGACTATATCTCATCTAAAAAATAATTGCCTCATAGGATAAGTGAATGGAGAGAACGGTTACATGTAGAACTACTCACGTAAGTATAAAGGCATACCAGCTCTTACTGTTTTCGATTATACCCATTCAAGTTGATTCATGGATGCAGTATTGGCATAACATATCGTTCCGTATTTTTTTAAAACTCAAATTGCAATTTGAAGTTTTCCCAGAAACTTCTATTTATCTATAAAGCGTGAAAAAACCGCTAGTGTTTACTGTTTCGTTATAATCAACTGTCAGTTTCATACTCCGCTATTATGCATGGTCAATCTCGCATGGAATGGTAAAAAAAAAAAACACGGCCACACTTCTCAATAACAACGAAATCCATGATTCTCGCAGGATCTCTGACATCGTAACTTGAAAATAGTAAGCAGACCTTTGATGCAAAACATTAATCACTGACGTATCTCCTTTTTCTAAAACGCTATAAGTTTGTTTTCATATGACTCACTATCAATAGAAAGTTACTTATTTATGGACACTGTGAACAGTAAGATGTTTATAAATTGTGCACCTTTACAAAGCTCGACGCAGAATAAAAGATAGTGGACTGAATGTTTATGATACGAATCATGATACATATTTAAGTAACACAATTTAGAACCTTTTAAGCTTAAAGTATGTTGAGGAGTACCAAGAAAACCAGAAAAATAACCAATCATTTAAAGACTGAAATCATCATTATCAAGAAACACTGTTGAAGCAACAAACCACTATCTGAAAAACCTACAACAATCCATGAAAAAAAAACGACTGGGAATATCAGCACCACATTAAATGCCATATAATATCAAGCAAAAATACAATAAAGGTTCATAAAAAAAGACGAGTAACAACAAAGTTAGTATCCCTCAGTAAAGATGTGAATTATTAGTGTGACCCATATGCATAAATATACATCAAGTGTCGGTGAGGTATGAACAGACCATAGCAGGGCAGTAGATTTTCATGCTTTATGTTTTATGCTACTACCACGTTTGCTTCGTTTGTTCGGAGAAGTGACACCTAGGCATGTAAGAACAGGAAACAAACAGAATATGATAATAAAATATCTACACGTATATTTCCAATGATCACATATTGTTAAGTAGCAACTGGTAAGGTGCTGATTGACTACTTAGTGGCAGGTCACGTCTTCATCAACGCATTATTATTATATTATTATTATTATTAGTCCCTTGGGTTCCTAGTGGAACATAGGGCTTCAGTAGCACGCCTCCAGTGACCTCTGTTCTCTGAGATCTTTTCAACCTGGTCCCACGACAGCCCAGAAGCTCTCATTTCCTGCTCGCACGACCTCCTCCATGTCACCCTCGACACCGACGTCCAACTCGTCGCTTCCCATGGGGATTCCAATCGAGGGCCTGACGCGTGATGTCCTCCGTCGGCCTTCTCAGTGCATGGCCAATCCATCTCCACTTCTTCCTGCATATTTGTTCCGTGATAGGTTCTTGGTTGGTTCGTTCCCAGAGTTCCTTGTTGCTTATTTTTTCTGGCCATCTGATCTTCAGCAGCGAGCGTAAGCAGTTGTTGATGAATGTCTGTAGTTTATTGGAAATACCTTTCGTGACGCGCCAAGTCTCTGAGCCATACAAGAGCACTGACTTGACGTTGGTGTTGAAAATCCGTAACTTGTTCCGCATGCTGAGTGCAGAAGATCTCCACACTGGTTTCAGGCTAATGAATACCTGTCTTGCTTTTCCGATTCTGACTTTGACGTCCTCGTCCGTCCCGCCTGTAGTTGAAACAGTGCTTCCTAGATAAGTGAAGGAGGTTACTTCCTTCAAGTTTCTCCCGTTGACGGTGATTGGAGTTTGTTGTTGTTGTTGTTGATGGTGGTGGTGCGGTATCTTCATCACTTCTGTCTTCTCTATATTCACCTGAAGTCCCGTCTTAGCTGCCTCTTCTATCAACCTGTTAGTTTTTGCCTGCAGATCTTCAAGTTTATGTGACATTAGGCACAAGTCATCGGCGAAATCCAAGTCTTCTAGGTTCTTTTCCGTCGTCCAGCGTATCCCCCTCTTCTCGCTGCCTACTGTTTGCTGCATGATCCAGTCCACCACAATCAGGAATATCATGGGTGATAGTAGACGGCCTTGTTTCACTCCTGTCCTCACTTCAAAGGCATCACTGAGCTTCCCATTGTGAATTACTTGGCTGGCATGTGGCATCTTCATATAGTTGTTGAATGAGGCGGATAAAGGTTTGCGGTACTCCGTAGTATTGAAGCAGTTTCCAAATTACTTCTCGGTCGACGCTGTCAAAGGCCTTCTCAAAGTCGATGAAGTTGAGGTGGAGAGGTGATTGCCATTCTATGCTCTGTTCTATGATGATACGAAGCGTTGCAATTTGGTCAGCACATGATTTGTACTTCCTGAAGCCTGCCTGTTCCGGTCGCAGTTTTGAATCCAGTGCATCCCTTAGCCTCTCCAGGATGATGCGGCTTAATATTTTACTTGGGGTGGACAGGAGAGTGATTCCGCGCCAGTTCTTGCAAGCACTGAGGTCTCCCTTCTTCGGCAGTTTGACAAGGTAACCCTTCTTCCAATCGTCAGGTACCTTCTCTTCCTTCCACACCTTCTGCAATAGTGGTGTGAGCATGTCCGCTGTTGTCTCTGCATCTGTTTTCAGTGCTTTTGGCGGTATTCCATCTGGTCCTGCTGCTTTCCCGCATTTCAGTAGCTTTATGGCGTTCAGGACTTCCATTTTCGTTGGGGGATTAATGTTCACTTGTAGTTCAGCGGCTGCAGGTGGTATTTCTGGACGAAGTGCAGGTGGTGGTCGATTCAAGAGCTTCTTGAAGTGGTCGGCCCATCGTTTCCTCTGTTTCTCTTCTTTTGTAATTAAATTTCCTTCTTCATCTTTTATTGGTTTCATCTGTGTTGGTCTCGTCCCTGATAGCAACCTGGTTATTTGATACAATGTCGTCAGGTCTCTCTTACCTGCAGCCTGTTCTGCTTCACTTGCCAGTGTTTCGTAGAAGTGTCTTTTGTCTTTGCGTGCACTCTTCTTCACTTCTTTGTCCAGTGTTTTATACATTGTGCTCAGTTCCTCTTGTCGTTGAGCATCCTTGCACTGGTTTATCTTCTGCTTCTTCATCCTCCTCTCCCTCTATCAGCTTCCAGGTATCCGTCGAGATCCATTCCTTGTCTTCTTTCTTCTTCCTTCCTAATACTGTTGTGCAGGTTTCTTTCCACATAGCTTTCAAAGACTTCCAGTGTTCTTCCACACAGGTTTCTTCAGGGATGTTGCTCGACGTCTCCCATTTTGTCTTGATGGCTGCCTTGAAGATCTCCTTTGTAGTTTCATCCTTCAGTTTCCGAGTGTTGTACTTGGGTTGAGGTCTATCACCAGCTTCCTTGAAGGCTTTTAACTTGATTTGGAAGGTTCCTTGCACTAGGTAGTGGTCTGAACCTACATCTGCTCCTCTTCTTGACCTTGTGTTAAGTAGACTGCGTCTCCATTTTCTTGAGATTGAGATAAAGTCGATTTGATTTTTAGTGTGTCCATCTGGTGAAATCCATGTCGCTTTGTGGATATCTTTGTGCCTGAACACACTGCCTCCAATCACCAAATCGTTGAATGCGCAGAATTCTGCAAACAATTCTCCATTCTCATTCATTTCACCTAGTGCCTCTCGACCCATGGTTAGTTCTCTTCCCGTGTTGTCCCCTCCCAGTTTGGCATTCATGTCGCCCATCAGAATTTTGATATCGCCAACTGACGTCTTGTCCAGTGTTGATTGAAGTTGTCTGTAGAAATCCTCCTTTTTCTCTTGCTCTGCATTATTTGTAGGTGCATAACATTGTATGATTGTGACCTTTCTTCCTTTTGAGTTGAATCTTGCTGTCATGATCCTGGAGGAGATTGGTTCCCACTGCATGAGAGCCTTCGATGCTCTTGAGGACATCATGATAGCCACTCCCTCAGTGTGCTCGTGGTTGGCGTCTGGGTGACCGGAGTAGATTATTGATTCTCCAGTTGACAGTTTGGAGAGTCCACTCCCATTCCATCTGCTTTCGCAAATCCCAAGCACTTCGATGTTATACCTTCTCATCTCCCTTGCAATCTGGGCTGCCTTACTGGGTTCAAACATCGTGCGGACATTCCATGTCCCCACGTTTACTTTCGCTTTCATCGAGAGAAGACACATCGGCCAATTGGCTTCCCGAAGGCTTTCACCAACTGGCGTCATTTCGCCTCTCCGATTCCAGCGGGGAATAAGTTTGTTTTCATTTTTTATATTTTGTTTGTGCTTTGAAGTTTCTTTAGCGGTTAGATTTGTTTTACGGGGTAGGGTTGCTAGCCCTATGCCCAACCTTCCCTCTTTACCCGGGCTTAGGACCGGCTAGTAACTAGTGAACTAGTTAACCAGGCGAGGTTCTTCATCAACGCATGCTATAACATATTGTTGACCCGTTAAATTAATAACAAGCAGATAAAATCAAAGGACCTCAATCAAAAATGCGTCGCCATAAATTGGTTACCGACTGACCTTAGCTGTTTTGACATGACAGTGATGTTGTCGCCTGTTAAGATAGCTCAGTAAGCTATTCTGGCTGAAAAACAGTTGCTCCTTGATATCCTACCATATCAAAAAGGTTTGTTGCATCGTTGCGAAACTAAAAGCCGATACCTCCAATTATGTAAACAACTTCTGATAATTTAGGGTTTTGGGGAAAAAGAAATCTTGTTGGTAATGTCCTAATTCAGTCTTTTGTATTAATGTAAACATTTCATCCGTCATCGGTCCTTCAGGGGTGATTACATTTCGCACATAAGTGTAGTGGTCGATGGTCCAACTATTTCACTTAGATATCCACTCCATGAATGTTTTTACATTCCATTTGGATACCCAGACATACACATCCCCATAATAACAGGTGATCGAAGTCCACACAGGAACTACAGAAAGAGCGGCAATTCTCCAACGACAGTTCATGAAAATATGATCTATCCGTGTCTTTCGTTGGTTTGATGTCAGCGGAGAGCATGTAAAGCGGTATCTCTCCTCACACTTGAAAATATTCCTGGTCAGGGACAAGTAATTGTCAGAACAGAACTGCATTAAACGATCACCATTGTCTCTTTGTTGGTATGGGATTCCGCAAGTAGATCCAAGATGACTTTCTGACTGGCTTAGCTTTCCTACTTGAGCGCTGAAGTGAAGTCGTTAATGCTCTCGACCATCTTATTCCCTACTGTTTAACAAGGCAAGACTGAAAATAAGTTCCGGAAGAATAATTTGCTTTTGGGTGATGAGAAACGCATCACAAACATTTACAAATCACCACTTAAGGGTTCTAGAAGACTCTACATATTCTCAACACCTTCACCCGACACGACTGTCTACTAAAGAGTCTCTTGTGACTAAATCAATCCCTGTCAAGTCAAAAGACGAGAGGGAGACCTTCATAAATATGTGTTTGAAAAAAAAATTAGTGAACATTCACTTGACCACTCACAGTCGGTTCTAACACAGCCATGTCCGAGTACAGAGTGGTATACTCATTCGGCACCCCCGCCTTCAGAGAGAAGCTGCTATGCGACCTCTTGTTGCACAGACTTGAATGGCGCCTATAGATCAAAAAATGCAACCAGTGGTGAGCAGTGGTAAGTATGCCTGTTTCAGAACTTGGCAGAGGATGAGTATCGAGTGGATATGCTCGTGGTTTGTTCTGGAACCTGCCAGCTTTTCTTGGGTTTGTTTTCGAGCCCCACTTAGACGTCTGATAATCATAGAAACCGGAATCCTAACTCCTATGTTCATCCAGCTGGTTCGCCTGTAGTCATCACAAGATGACTTCAAATTTTCCTTGAATAGTGGAACAATCAGTGACTGCGACCAGTCAGAGGGGATCATAACTGACTCCACACACTAGTTAACACCTCTTTATTGTAATACTAATCCTGTCTTCTGGAACTCGTCCGTCTGTTTTTACTTTTTGCAGATTACCTATAGCCTTCCCAACTTCTGTAAGTACTGGGAGGAAGGGACTCCAAGTGAATAGCGGAAACGGAATGGCAGCTGGAGGCCAGTTGAACCGTTTCTCGAAGTGTTCCGACCATCGTTCCATTGCGTAATCGGATATTAAAAAAAAGAGACATGAAAGAGTTCTACCATTTTTTTATACTTCTTACTGTGCTGTTGAGTCCAGCACATTTTCTGCCTAGAGATTATACTTAGTTCAATACCCACATCTGGAAGACCGCAAAAACTAGCCATCAAATCTCCAGAAACTCGAAGCATGAATTCTGCGAAGTCACCATATTTGACTAGATGAGGTTAAGTGAACTAAACCACTAGGGCCCCCGTATGCGTGTCTTGCAAACACAGCACACATTCATGACCCAGATGCTAGTGTTTCGGCTAGAGAAGCTTGTTGGTCGAGTTAAGGAAGTGTGCGGACACTAAAATCTGCAATTTCCCGGATGCTTACACCATAGAAAATTAGTACTAGAGGTGCATCAAAAAAAAGGGTTAATGGGTGACCATAGAGTCCAAACAACATCTGCTTTAGGTGTCACACACCATCTTTTTGGAAGTTTGAGATTTTGTTTTTCAGTTTTGAAGCCGACTATGAAACTATATAGCCAGCATCGATATGCCGCAGGTATAGACGAGATGGCTATTTCTAGGGCCGGTCTTTTCTAACTCCCGGTGGCACAGGGAAGACATTATCCGCGAGGGCACTGCCGGTCATTCAAGAGATACCTAACAGCTTTCGTTTCCCCGCCCCATCAACAGTGAGACTTCGCCATCGGACTCCCATCTAACGTTAAAATTTACAACTAAAGGTAACTGCTTTTCGTCTTACCACTATCCAGCAGGCTTTCCGGTATGGCAGGACCTTGAAGGAAAAAGCGTTCCGGTCAGTGCTGCTCGCTGGATTATTGCGATATGCCAGCCAGACCACCAAGTCAATTTAACAGCCACCGGTTGGCAGAGGGTTCTGGGTTCTGAGTTTGAGGAAGTCCTGTTAGCTCTATGAGGCATGACAGCGGTAAGATGTTTCCCGAAGACTCCGAGTTTATATTGCTCCCTCTTTGTTGGAAGGTTCTAAATGCAGTTGGTTCAAAAATCAAGGTATATTGCATCCTCGATTCCCATAGTGGTAGTTTACTTACGCAAACACAACAGATAGTTCAAAAAGTAACGTATGCTGGAACTTTAACATGTCCCTTTGATTCTGTAGCTACATACAACTATCCCACTTTTTTATCCAGTATCTCAAAAGATATCAAATTACTCATTTAAAGCAGCATGCCCTTTAGTTTTTATACATTTCTTTGCATTCAAATTGTGTTCCTGTTGGGAAACATTGTGCCCTCTACCGTTCCCCTTTAACGTCCTACTATGCGACCACTGATTAAGACCCAAGTCGAACTACACTGCGGACTTGACACTGAAGCTTTCGACATCTAAAACCTATTCCGAGTGAGATAACATATCCCGCTTAACAAAACCTCAAATTTTTAGTCCACACCTGAATATTGTATTCAGGCAGTATGGCGAGTTGACGTAGGTAGTAGTGGCTTGACATGAGCAGTCCATTCCCAAGACACTTCAGTCAACTAAGGTTCACAACCTCATCAATTGACTTGCCTATTGTGCCTAGTAACCTTCACCTGACCTCAACATTGCTCACATGGTGACTTCACCAAACACAGGACAAATAAGTGAAGACTAATGAAATCAGAATATCAAAGTCGTTAAGCAGTGTAGATATCTGTACCATTGGAGTTATATTATTGAAAGTTTCCAACAAAATATCTTCAATAAATTTCATTTATTTAGTCTCTTCTCATACACTATTATATATCTTAGTACAGTTTCTCTTCGATTCACTTCCTTATGGATTGTTGCAACTTAAACTGATGCTATGCTAACCTATTTTTCATCTTTTTAATGTTTACATAGAACCTCACTAAATGATTCAGTCAACATCCCCTTAGTTCATGGATAACTACTAACTATTACGAACTGGTCAACTGAAATTTCGTCACATTGCTGATTAGATGCGACAGCCTAATTATTCAACACAGAAATTAACTTTAGGCGTTAGAATATCTGCCATAAAAATTAAGGATGAACAACAATAAGGTCATAAAGATCAAATCATGATACGGCAACATTAGTTTATATTAATATTTCTTAGAAACTTTACGACCATTCTTACGAATTTTTAACATAATGTAGCTAAACTACCCTTACACGACCAAGGTTACTGAGTGAATTTCGACTGAACTTCAATCAGTACATCGGGGTCATACTGTTCCATTTGCATTGACAAGATGTACATATAATTTCTACATAAATCCAAATTACTTACCAGTAGTTGGAATCAAATGAGGGAAGTCTGTGAAATTGTGAATATCAACAGTTTTTTTAAAAGCAATACTTTGATCGAGATGTACTGAAGACCGTTTATGACCGACAGGAGCTAGTGATTGCATATCATTTGTGAGCCCACTATGCAAAATATCAGCTGAAGGTTCATAGGATATTCTGTGAAAATATAGTAGAAGCAAGTAAAAAAACAGTAGTCAAAATAAAAATATTGAATAAGTGTCTGCTCATTTGGTAAATTATAAAACTGACAATAAAACTATGAATTGTTACGGATGAAAATGACTCTACTAGGCCTAAAAAACAAATGTGATGGGTAAGTGGGTTTGAAACTATAAACTCACTAAGCCATCGGCAGGTAAAACTGTCTATTACTACTACTACTGTTGCTGCTCAAAAGGCATGGAGAAAACTATTTCTTAATAATCAAACATGGTAGTCGTATACTATAAAACGAAAGTTGTATTTCAAAAATTTTAAGCAAAAATACACAGAACAATAAGAGTAAAATAATATGTACCTACTTGGAATGTCGTGTCATCCTGCGATTTTCATGAGTGGTTAAGGGACCTGTCAAAGTGTCTTCTTCTTCCTCTTTAGGAATTTCTTGACAAAGTTTTCTGTCTTTACACTGCTTTGGAATCCCCTGTAGTGTATCTTCATCTTCATCATACTTGCGATACTGGTTTTGATTACATGACATTTTAATGGTTGGCGAAGCTGTGAGATCCTTTGGGCTTTGAAAAGAATGGGAAAGAGGTTGGTCACAGTTTATTAATGGAATTCGATATTCTTCTGGATTTATATTCTCTGTGTCGCTAGACGTAGCGCTTTCTAAGACCCATGACGAACTAGAAAGACTACTTGAGAGATCAGCAGTCGATAACGAACGCCAAGTATCTTCAAAACTGAAAAAGAACAAAGTCAATCCCAAAGGTTAGAAAATTTGAATATCTAATAATGAATAATTGTGCATGACGTGAAAACAAACTGGTCAACAACATTCAATGCTTAAAAAAGACAGTATTTAGTCAGAAAATATTTGCTAAACCCTAAGTGTGAACAACAGGATTACCATATTCCCAAGGAAGGATTGAATACAAGTGAATACACTGAAGTCTGACCTCATCATTATCATCACAAAATCAACATGGGATCAGGCATCACAGAGTAACGGTCCAAGTTGCTACATCTTATATCAAGTAACAGGGCAGTGAAATGGTAGATGAAGAAAAAAGCCGGTCAAAAAAAAGTAGACATTAGTGAAAGAGAAAGACGGGATATGGGAAAATGACGACACTAAGTATAGCGGTTATAATGAAGATAATGTGTGTATACATCTGCGTCGCTGACATCGGTTTTCACCCATATCACATATAATCTTCAATTAATGTTTTCTCTTGTCCCATGGACCCCAACCGGCTAATCTACATGCCCGTACGTGGCTCAAAAAAACAGTCAAGCAATTCATGGACTGATGCCATGTTTCAGTCTGGCAGTCCCGAGCCAGCATGAATATATCTCGGCCATTATTGCACGACGGGGCAGACGGTGGCTAGGCGTGCGTAACACATGTTCCAAACATCTCAGTCGATGAAGGTTCATAACCTCTACTTCCTAAAACTCTACACTTACACGTGACTTCTGTGTTACTAACGCGGTGACACTACGAAACACGACTTATGCTACGAAGGCAACTGTGGTCACACACCAGAAGTCTTCTCATGTCCTCTACGTTTGATGGTCATGTTTCCCAGCCACATAGAAGAATAGAGCGGACTGCAGTACAGTACACCCAACCCTTAATAGACAATCAGATATCGCTGCGGTGCTACATACGGTGTTAGTCGGCGAAAGCCAATCGACCCTTTCGTGTCCGTGCAGGGATCTTAGCGGCCACAGATTCACTAGGGCTCATCCCACTTCCCAGGCAAGTGAAGTGTTCAACACACTCAACCACTTCACGCTATACTCTTAGGCCAGGGCATCGTTAAAGACCAGTCCTTGAGCAACAATGTGCATTCAGGTGGCGAAAAATGCATCCTAAACATTTTCAAATTGCTGCTCAAGGTGTTCAGAAGACTCTGCATCTTGTCAATGCCTTCACCTAACACGATCATATCATTTGTGTATTCTAGGTCTACCAAAAATTCTTTTGTGATAAAGCCGATCCCTGTGTAGTTAGATGACAAAAGGGAGACTTCCATGAGAACGTCTATGATAAGATTGAATAAGAATGAGAGTGAGGAAGAAATCTAATAATTCTAAGTAATCGAACTCCATTGACAGACTATCCAAGTGGGGGATATAACGATTGAAACGCTTGCGCTACCTACCGTAATAAACAAAATCTGAAAATTAATAACGTCGAGAAGCGTTGGTATCGCACTGTGTGAACACATTGTAATGGTGGTTCTACAAGCAAAGCTACTGGGTATTTAGGCGTGAAAACCATTTCTTTTAACGTGGGATTTTCATTCGTGTCTCGATGCAAAAACTGAATATAGTATCATCACTAAATCCTAAGCTGGAATATTATTCTTTATGACACCCGTATTATAATATCGGATAAAACTAGTTAGGAACTATCGACCAAACCACAAAGGGTTCCGAGGTCCGAGATAAACAAAATTTTAATGGTGAAGAGCCTGGCTAGTTTGTGCACATTATAAGGGGAAAACACATGCCATAACGATTGAAATGAACTTTGAACATTGCTAACAGACGGGACCTTATGTGATATTTCGTCTCTACCGATTAGAAACTCATGTATCCATGAGTTTAAATCCCAATACAAATGTTCACAATGACAAAATACTACAAGTATTCAATTTATAATCTAATCTGAGATATTACTGACTTCTATAGGATAACTCATCCAATCGAGTTTGTGAGGAATCATTTGCAACCAATGAAGATTTTTAATAAAAAGAGTGCGAGAACTTACGGTGAAACATTTAGATAAGTGAAACAAAGTATTACTACAACTTGCTCACACTTTTAAAAGTAGTGCCCTTTCAATTACGTATAAGCATTCGGAAACAAGATATCGCTTCATTCCAGCCGAACTCCGCACCAAATTCTTATACATCGTCTTTTCATTGGAAAAAGGCAAACTGAAACTCTTACTTCTGCAGGTGTTTGAAGAGTAGGGTGGTAGCCCGAAGCAACAAAGAGTTTCACCCCTCCACTGAATATCTAAGTATTCGATAGATATTTGAGTTGTAAGACCATTGAAGAATATAATAGATGGTTAGTTTGAGTAACAAAAGTAATTAAGGTCTGCCAGGAATATTCGTTTACGTCAATCATGACCTAACAGTCCATTTTTCGCAGTGACAAGAAGACTCACTACATACCGACTTGTGGCCAACAGGTTTAGGGAAATGATTTTTAACCAATGGGTCACGAGTTGGAGCACAGCTTCACCCAACGAAGTTAGGGCTGTCGGTTAGCAGTATCATAAGCCGTCACAATACAATAGGTACAGCTCACTGCCTACTGCATGAACGCGCACAAGGTTGCTGAATGCATTCCGATAAACCGACCCAATACATACGAATGTATGCACTAAAGTAAAAGCTATTGAATATGATGAGATTTGCAACACAACAATCTAGTACATCATGTACTAAGCTGCAAACTATACTTGTTCAGGGAATTATGATACTAACCGATCGCAACGGATGAGTTGGGTGAATACAGTCGACACTCTCAAATCAGAAACGATATGAACAAGTAATTCTATGGACAGAGATCAAACGTCTTCGCTGTAACAACGAACAAGATGACAGTGGTGACAAATATGCATGCACTACATTTTTCAAAAATACTACAACTATGAAAGTTCTACTGCTTCAAGTTTATTTCAAGTAAATCATATAAAGCAAATAAGATTAAAAAAACTTTGACGGAAACCTACTTAAGATCACTGAAGTTGTGTAGATGTTTGCGCCACTTACGAATCATACCATCCCATGCGCGACGAGAAACTTTACGAAATTTGTTGGGAGTACGAGGATGGTACTTTTGACGCTCAGGTTTTGGAATACTTAACACGTATTCAGCATAACGTTCTGTGACTTTACCCATATCGATGTCTTTTTGTCTCCTTAACAATTCCATCTGCCTTCTTTCAAGTTCAATAGATTCTTGTCCTTCTCCCTGAATATTAAAATAAAGATTAAAAGTGAAGTTTCTTCAAAACAAACGAACAATGTTTCACACAAGACTTCATCAAGTTACACAACCACACCGAAAGACAATGAATTACACTCAGCTGATGAAACATATTTGAAAACAATACCGATAATGATAATCAATGCGTAAACATCAACATGAGACCTGGGATTACTGAGTAACTGCTCAACTTGCCACACCCGTTTTAGGCTAATACAAACCCCAAAGTAAGTGAAATGGTCGACATATTTCAACACTTCACTCCCTATCATTAAACTGAAAGAAGTGAAAGCCTCATCTTACAATTGACAGGTGCAAGCTAAACGCACGCCAAACACCCACATTTCTGCTCAACATGTTTACAAGACCCTGCATTGCGTCAGCGTCTTCCCCTAACAACATAATATCGTTTGCATACTCCAACCAGATGACTTTCACCCAGTAGATTAATTCATGTGAGGTCGCACGTACGCTCATAAAGAAGTTAAACAGCAATGGTGACAATGGACATATCTGGCGGACGCCACCAGCTGTCGTCAATTCTGAGTATAATTCTCTGCAAGCTCTTACACGGCTACATGAATTCAAACAAAGAGCGTTGATTAGCATCAAGTACTGATGCCTATACATCACCTACTACCTCAGTCACTCTAATCACAAATTTCATACCTTCATCCTTAAAAACATCGAGTCACAAACTGTCTGGTCCTGCTGCTTTGTGTCGCTTTACATCCCATACAGCCTTCTCAACTACAATAGAGGCTTGCACGATAGACATCTACCTCCCATTCAGGTTCAGGCTGGATGTTGGGCAACTGAAACGTTGCTGAGGGCCAGTTGAACTGTGCTTCAGTGGTCCACCCAACGTTCTAGCTGCGTGTCCTAAAGGGTTATCAGCGTCTCCTTCTTTTCAATGATGGTTTCATGCTCTTCCAGTCAGTATCCTTAATAACTTTAAATAATTGTCAAGTGATACCCAATGCTAATGCCTTCTTCATCTCTCTCACTTTCGCCAACCACCACCCTCATGACCACTGCCAAGACTCTTGGTCAGATTACCTCTAAGTTACTTCCGCTCCTCACTGTGGTCACAGCCAGCTGGAACTAGTCTTCTCCCACCAATCATTTCCGATGACGTTGTGGGAATCAATTCACCTTTTCCAACCTTCGGGTATAAGTTACCAGCAGTCCCTACCGGTGTTTCTACAGTAGACCTAATATCACGCCAGGCTTCCTCAAGATGAGCATTGCAGTTACATTCACACAAATGCTCAGTTAATTCCTCTTTAAATATGCACATTGTCGAAATCATCTAATGAAGAATAGACAGGTTTCACTATCACCTGTTTCCTGCTATCAGTAAGACGCAGACATACACGAGCACGTAATACTGCGTGATGGGAGTCCTAACCGGTACTGGTGAAAAAGCGACAACCTTCCACAGATGGTTTATAGCAATATGATGCATCTGTGTTCATCACTGGTTCGATGTCGGCGGAAGCCATGTGAGAAAGCACCTTTCGTTATGCCGTAAGTTCGTTGCCGGCCAGAAACAAGTGATTATCGGAACAAAATTGCAACGGACGACCACCGTTGTCGGTTATTTGGTATGGGATTCTGAAAACATACCCAAGATGTCTTTTCAGGTGGTTTGGTTCTCCTGCTACAGCGTTAAAGTCACCTGCCATTATGACTACATCTGATTATTTTGCTTTCTGCAGCAAAGTTGGCAACTCACAATTCATCCTTTGCATCATCCGAACCGCAGTCGGTTGGTGCGCAGACGTGAATTATGAATAGGCATCACTTAGTCTTACGATCCTCCCTGATCCTTTCAGTCAACGGCTGTTGACTGGTATCCAGTTCAGAAGCGCACTTTCTGCCCTACTGTTCAATGCTATGCCTACACCAGAGAGTTCAAGAGAGCTAACGACTGGGTCTCCAGATACGCCTAGGGCGGATTTTCAAGATTCACTGCTATGGCCAGCTGAGATCAATTTAATAACCACATTCGAATTCTGCATACGTATCTAAAACAGCATACATTCATGGCTAGGGATTCCAGAGTTTTGCGAGGGGTACTTGCTGTCCGACTTAGCATAGAGTTCGGTCATCGAAAGCTCCGACACGAAATCGATGGCGAGGTCTTAGGAGACTAGGAAGCGAAGCGAAAGGAGACAGTGTTGATGATAGGTTATATTTGCTTGAGTCTTGTGTACTAATGGAAGCGTGCGGGCAGTTGACACTTCTCGGCTGCCCATACCATGGAAGGCTCTATCTTCTCAAGATATCTGGAAGGAAAAAAGATTTGTGACCCCAGAGACCATGGGACATTGAAGTCTGTCACATACGCTTTTGTGGCTTGTTGTTTTGAAGTTCGGTTGTTCAAACGAGGGATAGGGAGAATCCATACCGCGATCATCGGAAAACCATGGGGCCAGGGGAGTGTTACTTTTGTGTTTGATAAACCCCGTTCCCGATTGGAAGGGAGCATTAGTGTTGCATTGCTGGTCATCCAAGGGAAACACTTTATTGCTGTCACAACCGATCCACTAGCAGCAGTAGGACTTCTCCCTCATCATAATGTGGTGATCTACACTAAAGCGGTAACTGGTTTTCGTCTTACCATCATCCAAAGAACATTTTTGGCTTGGTAGTATAGCTTGTCGGGTCATTGTGATATGAGAACCCCATCGCTACGTTAAGGTAGCAGCTATCGCCTGGGATTGCAACAGACGATCACCATCATCGGTTTGTTGGCGAAATGTTTCGTAGACACCGCCAAGATGTCTTTCCAGTTGGCTGTTCTTCTATTTGAGCGTTAAAGTGAAGTGGCTATCGCATTCAACCATCTCACTCTACACTGCTAAGCCAGGCACCTTTGAAGACAAATCCTGGAGTATTATTTGAATTGGTGTGGAAAAAAACACATCTCAAACGATCTCAGATCGCCAGTCAAAGTGTTTAGAAGACTGTATGTGGTCAGCACCTTCATATAAAATGACTGTCAACTATGTATTATAGGGCGTTCAATCTGACTGCCACAATGCTTGTTAACACTTCAGTTAACTGAACAAACAGGCCCCAACAACTGTTCCCAAATACCTACAGCACTGGCCCATCTGTCCTTCATTGCTTCGACTCAGCATTAGAAGCCCTATTTTCAATATCCATTCAGGATTAGAGCATAGAAGATAATGGATGAGTCGCTTGAAACCAGCTGGGTTGTTACTCGAAGCATTTTACTTTCCCTTTCAGTAGGCCCTGAAAGTGACTCACAGATCAACCCTTTTCTGCTGATCTTACCAACCGTTTTCCTTTCAGTTCCAGTTTGTGGGGTGTCTAGGAAATTGTTAAATGCTACCTATCTCCGCTAAATTATCTATTTCTTCGGCTTCTTTTTTTCTCACTAGAATTGCAGCGAAGCTTGTTAAACACCACTTCTCGGTCATTGATGAGCCTACAGTATAACTCCAGGATCATCTATGTAACAGGCTATAACCATGGGCAGCAGACTTTTTGCCTTTCTTAGAAGACTGACGAACAGAGTAACATAAATAATCACATGAAAGTACTCATTTCAGGTGCCATAGTGCGACAGTAAGAAGTCTGAGTTAAAAGAAATCAAAACGGACAAACTTACTTGACTGATCACCACACCTTATTATGTCTTGGGTCGCGTTTGACAGATTATCACAATTATCAAGCAGTCAGCTAGGAAAATTACCAATGCACACTACAACAGGTCTAGTATTCAGACATCACCTTCTCAACTATTTCCACTCTAGCTGTCGATGTGTAGTGTAATAGAAGTTCAAAAGGTGTACAATACGTCCCAAATACTTAATGAGTACAGCTCAATCAATCCGCTGACTTCAAAACAGTTGTGACCGTCGGAAGATAGTTCCATACTTGCCTTTTACTACTATCGTAAATTCATAGGTTAGGATAACAACAAAACACTACGGTATGCTAGATTTCCTTAAGGTAGCATTCATACCTTTCAAAGTAGAAACTTCAGATAGTGTTGCTTGCTAAAGCTACACGTAGTACTGTGAGCCTACAATTTGAATCACATTTATTGTACAATACAACCAGAAATGCACATTGCTAGAATATGTATACTTCTTCAGTAAATTGATTGTTATACCAAAACGCTATCTCTAGATAGCGTGACATGACTTCTGTGATCTATAATGTAGGATTTTAGTCACCTAAAACCTAGTAGAAACGCTGTATGGGAAAATTCTAACTATTGCAGTGAACGTCATTTGTTCTCGAAGGAATTACCGACATACTATACGATGTAGAGAAATGATAGACTCCACACCAAGAACCTGAGAAAACAAAAACTAGACAGAATTACCCTTTCAGCTAGCCTGCGCTTTAACTTCTCTTCATAGCGATTTAGATCTTCGTCAGCATCATCGCAAAGCAGCATATCGACCTTCCAATCTCCGTGAGTTCGGTAGCGATCAAGACGTTCCTGGGCACGCCTGATCTCAATCAGCGGATCATAATCAGGATGGAACTTCCGACGACTTCCAGTCTGTTGAGGGTCAGATTAATGAAGCACATACCGAGGATAAGATGCTACGTGACCTGTTGTGATCACAACTTTCCTCCTTAGATCGGTGTCGAGTCCTGTACCTTGGAGTGTTTTCGCAGCTTCGAACAGGTGTAGACATCCGAACAGGTGTCGTTTTTCCGATCGCCTTAGTAGATGAACGACTAGTCCTCTCACTTTCTACATTTTGGGATGACTTTTCTAGCCACCGTCCAACGTCACGGTTCTCGGACTGTATGTTATCTATTTGACTTCAAATATCAAGCTTCGTAAAAATCGCTATACTTTTGGTTTATTGGAGTGTATGCACGAGAGCGACTTTTGTTAATTGCTCCCAGGAAAACTGCATTTTTAACAGGAGCTGACTTCCTAGACCTACGACGGTCATCCGCCAAGAAACTCATTATATTGAAATCAAACAACGCGGTCTTCCGAATTTATCTGAGTTACTGCGCAGTTACGCCATACTTCATATCATTATTAAAGAGCAAAAATCTGAAAGAAGAATATTCATCTCAATAAATTCAAATCACGTTCTAAAACAATAAATTACACTTTTAAGGCATAAAATCAAATCAAGCCATGGCGAAATACATTTTCAAAATGGAATAAGATTTATGGACTGTAAGGAAATCAAGTTTTCTATTACAAACTCATCAGTAAGAAGATGACATATATGCAGATGAATAAAGTGCTTGTGAACGAAAGTGCAACGAATAAAGTAGCCTTTAGTTTTCGGAAGGTGAAGGGAGGAATAATGTTTGAACATGATTTTTCGGAATGCACAGTTCATCCTTGATCACTCTTCTTTCGACAATCTCAACTACAGTGAGCAGGGGTTGATGAGCAAAAAGTGAGTCTGTTTTTGGGATACGGTGTGTAGCGTCATACACTTCCCCAAAATCAATAGCCTAGGGTTTGACGACTTCGACATTGATGCTGACCTTGATAGTTTAACTGGACTCGCTAAGCTGAAGGCATCCGGTCAAGCATCCTCGCCATTTGGCACGCTGTCGTGTTACGTTGCATTGCTCGTATTCGACTCTCTAGCCAGTTAGTTGGAACGCATCGGTATTTTGGCATAACCACCCAAATATACTATTCCATCCGACTACGCTATCGTGTTCTTCCTTGGTCTCGTATTCGTGGGTATATAACAAGTTCGAATAATTAGTGATTGGTCTTTGCGTCTGTCAAGTTCGCATCAGAACAAATCCTAAATTGGTGAGCCCGACGTGATCAAATATCCCGACGTGATCAAATACCCGACGTGATTACATATCCCGAACAATAGCAAGTATTGAATTGGTGAGCCTGTTCCATTTTATATTTGTTTATTGTTTTCATTTCGATAACATTTATATATCCATTTACTACACTTTCTCATGTCCGACCAAACTCCCAAGCTTATTCGTATTAAGCCGACCTCGAACACGATCCAACTCGTGCCATATTGGCCAGACAATGCAGAAACATGGTTTCTGTATGCCGAGGCCGATTTTCGAGAACAGGGTGTCTCAGATCCTCATTCTCGATTTCTCGCTGTCATACGTTCACTACCGCGAGAATTAAACAGGTATGTTACAGCAAACATGTTTAATCCTGAAGTAAGTGGCCCTTATGCACTTCTCAAGGCCGCACTCTTGAAGAAAAACGATCTCACAGATCGCCAACGTCTAGACGAATTGCTTCGTAACATCGAGCTAGGCAGCCACTCAGCTACTGAAGTCCTCGCACGCATGCGAGAAGTAATCGGTGCACGAACATTTGACGATGGTTTATTCCGAGAACTGTTTCTCTCGAAACTACCACAACCGGTGCAAACCGTATTGGTGACACTGCAGTCAGTCCCACTCGACGACCTGGCAGCTTCAGCAGATAAAATACTGGAGATATCCAGCAGACCCGTCTCCAACGTATATTCTATCTGTGACAAAACAGAGCGCCAGGATTCGGAGGTGACCAAGTTGTGCAACTCTGTGAAACGGTTGCTACGTTCTCGAAGTCCTAGATCACGTAGCACTTCACAGAAACGCACCTTGGCGCATCGCAGCAAGTCGCGTGGCAGCCCTAAAACGAAACCCAACAGGGTGGAAAACCCTGAATGGTGCTGGTTTCATAACACTTACAGGGATGAAGCCAGAAGATGTCGTAAACCATGCCGTTTTAAGAAGGACATAAACTCGGGAAACGGTCACGCCGGCACGTGCTCACGGCAACCGTAGCCGGCGGAGAAAGCCGTTTGCTCTACGTCACCGACGTTAAAACGAAAGTCCGCTACCTCGTCGACACCGGCGCAGAAGTTAGCATTCTTCCAGCAACGACAAAGGAGCGTCATCTTGACCCATCCTTCAATCTCCAAGCAGCCAACGGCAAGGCAATCGCGACATTCGGGAGACAGTATGCCTACCTAAACTTAGGTTTACGCAAACCTATTCACTGGATTTTCCTCCTGGCAGACGTCTCTATGCCCATCATTGGCATAGATTTGCTAAACCATTACGATCTGCTCGTAGATGCTCGCCGTCGATGACTGATAGATAACAGCACAAAGTTATCCATTGGCGGCACCACCTATGTAGGTCCGAGTTTAGCCATCGTTAGGACTAAACAATCAGACGACGCGTCCTACCAGGCAGTTCTGGAGAAATATCCAGAGTTACAGCAACCGAAGCACACTCTTCCGTGCATAACCAGCAATGTTATGCATCACGTCACAACCACAGGTCCACCTGTGGCATCCAAAGCGCGCCGTTTAGCCCCCGATTAGCTCCAAACGGCGAAAAACGAATTCGACCATATGCTCGAACTGGGCATTATCAGACCGTCGAACAGTCCTTGGGCATCGCCATTGCACATGGTTCCCAAAAAGGATAGCAACGACTAGCGTCCAACCGGTGATTACCAAAGGCTCAACGCCAAAACAACCCCAGACCGCTACCCGATACATCAATACAAACCCTCGTACACTCTGCCTTTTTTCTTTTTATATCGATTTTTATCACCATGTGATAGAAATTTAAAAAAAGCCGGCGAAGGTAAGCGTAAATTTTTATTTTTCGATATGTTTATATATAAATAATTCTCATTTTTACGCAACGTTTTCGTGGTATTAAAGACTTTTATTTATATTCCAGGTGCAACGAGCACTGGACGGAACGTCGAAAGGAACAGATGACCGCGACCGACGTACAATTTCATTTATTGTATTTTATTTATTTAATTGCCACGACACCCTAGAATAAGGTTCAGACAACCAGGGGCCACCTCACGCAGTGAGCCCATCGGGAGAGTTTTACCAGTGGAGAAACCACTGGGTTTTTACTTCCGGCTGGTATCGTCTTAGGGTCCTCACGAACCCACTAGGGGGGGAGTGATCTGTAGCGTCATACACTTCCCCAAAATCAATAGCCTAGGGTTTGACGACTTCGACATTGATGCTGACCTTGATAGTTTAACTGGACTCGCTAAGCTGAAGGCATCCGGTCAAGCATCCTCGCCATTTGGCACGCTGTCGTGTTACGTTGCATTGCTCGTATTCGACTCTCTAGCCAGTTAGTTGGAACGCATCGGTATTTTGGCATAACCACCCAAATATACTATTCCATCCGACTACGCTATCGTGTTCTTCCTTGGTCTCGTATTCGTGGGTATATAACAAGTTCGAATAATTAGTGATTGGTCTTTGCGTCTGTCAAGTTCGCATCAGAACAAATCCTAAATTGGTGAGCCCGACGTGATCAAATATCCCGACGTGATCAAATACCCGACGTGATTACATATCCCGAACAATAGCAAGTATTGAATTGGTGAGCCTGTTCCATTTTATATTTGTTTATTGTTTTCATTTCGATAACATTTATATATCCATTTACTACACTTTCTCATGTCCGACCAAACTCCCAAGCTTATTCGTATTAAGCCGACCTCGAACACGATCCAACTCGTGCCATATTGGCCAGACAATGCAGAAACATGGTTTCTGTATGCCGAGGCCGATTTTCGAGAACAGGGTGTCTCAGATCCTCATTCTCGATTTCTCGCTGTCATACGTTCACTACCGCGAGAATTAAACAGGTATGTTACAGCAAACATGTTTAATCCTGAAGTAAGTGGCCCTTATGCACTTCTCAAGGCCGCACTCTTGAAGAAAAACGATCTCACAGATCGCCAACGTCTAGACGAATTGCTTCGTAACATCGAGCTAGGCAGCCACTCAGCTACTGAAGTCCTCGCACGCATGCGAGAAGTAATCGGTGCACGAACATTTGACGATGGTTTATTCCGAGAACTGTTTCTCTCGAAACTACCACAACCGGTGCAAACCGTATTGGTGACACTGCAGTCAGTCCCACTCGACGACCTGGCAGCTTCAGCAGATAAAATACTGGAGATATCCAGCAGACCCGTCTCCAACGTATATTCTATCTGTGACAAAACAGAGCGCCAGGATTCGGAGGTGACCAAGTTGTGCAACTCTGTGAAACGGTTGCTACGTTCTCGAAGTCCTAGATCACGTAGCACTTCACAGAAACGCACCTTGGCGCATCGCAGCAAGTCGCGTGGCAGCCCTAAAACGAAACCCAACAGGGTGGAAAACCCTGAATGGTGCTGGTTTCATAACACTTACAGGGATGAAGCCAGAAGATGTCGTAAACCATGCCGTTTTAAGAAGGACATAAACTCGGGAAACGGTCACGCCGGCACGTGCTCACGGCAACCGTAGCCGGCGGAGAAAGCCGTTTGCTCTACGTCACCGACGTTAAAACGAAAGTCCGCTACCTCGTCGACACCGGCGCAGAAGTTAGCATTCTTCCAGCAACGACAAAGGAGCGTCATCTTGACCCATCCTTCAATCTCCAAGCAGCCAACGGCAAGGCAATCGCGACATTCGGGAGACAGTATGCCTACCTAAACTTAGGTTTACGCAAACCTATTCACTGGATTTTCCTCCTGGCAGACGTCTCTATGCCCATCATTGGCATAGATTTGCTAAACCATTACGATCTGCTCGTAGATGCTCGCCGTCGATGACTGATAGATAACAGCACAAAGTTATCCATTGGCGGCACCACCTATGTAGGTCCGAGTTTAGCCATCGTTAGGACTAAACAATCAGACGACGCGTCCTACCAGGCAGTTCTGGAGAAATATCCAGAGTTACAGCAACCGAAGCACACTCTTCCGTGCATAACCAGCAATGTTATGCATCACGTCACAACCACAGGTCCACCTGTGGCATCCAAAGCGCGCCGTTTAGCCCCCGATTAGCTCCAAACGGCGAAAAACGAATTCGACCATATGCTCGAACTGGGCATTATCAGACCGTCGAACAGTCCTTGGGCATCGCCATTGCACATGGTTCCCAAAAAGGATAGCAACGACTAGCGTCCAACCGGTGATTACCAAAGGCTCAACGCCAAAACAACCCCAGACCGCTACC